ATGTTCTTTTCTTTTACATTTTTTATTTCTATAATAAGCATTTATTTAGCTTTTTCACTTAAGTGTCTGTGGGCAAGTTTTCACTATATAAAGGTGTCCCTAGGTCAAGAAAAGCTTGAGAACCGCTGAAATAGAACACTGCTTTTTATGCTGAATTTGTCTTTTAAAATAAACCCTTTGCAATGAAAAGACAAAAATGGGTTTTCTTTGAACTCAAAATCTAAAAATGATGGCCACCGTATTGACTTATATTTTAGTTTGTTCACTTTTGTTTTACTAAATTTGTCAAAATTGTCATAGACCCACAGATTCCATGGGTAATAGTAATCTTTTAGGCCTTTATCACATGAAATTAACAAAATTATGTTCTCAGCAGCACACTTTGAAAGCATTTGATTGACTAAAACATTGACTTTGACTCATGTGTTGCTCTCATTCCACAGGTTGTCATATCAAGGTACACAAAGAACACTATGACAAAAATGAAGAGTTCATTGCTTATTGTAAAGGTTGGTAGTGTGTTGTTTCTTAGTTAAACTGGAAGATGATACTCTACACTAGTAGTGAAAAATGTTTGGCTTGTCCATCTGCCATAAAATCTAAATCTAATTTGTTAGCATGAACTACTTATACTTGTAAAGTGCTGTTTACATCTATATTTATAGATATATAGTAAGCCATGTCAAATATGGAGTGTCACTAGGATTACTGAGGCCGCAAACTATTATATTCTAAAAAAAACTTATAAATTTCTTTAACATAAAAAGAAATTTTTAATAGCCTACACTAAAAAGTTCTTTTTATAAAGCAAAAAATATCCTCATAATTCTTTAAACAGATTTTTTACAAATGTTTAAGTAGATAGCAGATATTCCTGCAGATTCCAATAAAGTATTAAATGTACAATGTTAAAAATATATTTGACCAAAATGTTGAAATCGACTTGAAAAGTACAATATGTATGACGATATTCCCACTTTCAATGAATGTTTGGCTTTTTAATGGCAGTATGTTTATTGGGTTAAAACCTTATTTCTCTTGAACAGCTGTTTATACATAACCTCTTATTTTACAAAGTCAAATTTTTTTTTAGTCAACTTTGACTCGAGTATTCAAGCTAAAGAGATGCTACTTCTTGCTGAGTCAACAGAGAAACAGAAAAACTGGGTGCAACACCTGAGTAAAAAAGTCTCAAAACAAGGAATTGTTAGTACTGGAAATCTTAGGTAAATTGTCTAGTTTTTAATGTAAAATTTTGCTTTGGCTCATGTTGTAAGTGGTCATTTTGTCACATAAATGCAAGATTTTTTTATATTTTAAATTATTTGTATTGTTGCAACAGCTCCCTATAGTTTTCAGAAAGTATGCACCGAAAAAAAAAATATGTTTAATTTATGCACATTTTATTAAAGAAAAAATGTACACAGGATTTGATTGGCAGTTTATGTTAATCTGTATCTTTCATTTAGTGTATGAGTTAGACAAAAACTCCCATTATCTTTTTCAATTTTCACAAAATGTATTTAATTTTGTCTAAATTAACTGTGCCCATTATAAAAAGTAGACAACGCTATTTTACAAACATCTTCTTCACTTCCAATAAGATCAAACTTAGGCTCTTTCTAACTGTAGTATTTATTTAAATCGTTATAATGTTTTGTTTTGTTTTGACAGTAATCCAAGGGGTACAAAGCAGTATGCATCTATGGGACCTCAACTGAGAGGACAGCAAGCTGGCAAGTCAGCAACTCTCCCCCCACCCAATTCCAGGAACTCATAGGCATTGTGAAATAGCAGTTTTGTAGCCAATAAAATGTGAAGTTAATCATAGAACCTCAAGACCTAGTGAAAATCCTGTAATATTTTTTCTAGCTAGAAATATGATCAAGTTGTTACTTTTGGTCATTCTTGAAGCAGTCTAAACAGCATTGTGAACAGTTGACTGTGCTTTATTTCTTGTCATTTTGTTTTTTAGTGTTATAAGAAATAGAATTGTACATTTACACAAATGTTTTCTGATGAGTCATGCTGGACTTCACATTTGAAAGGCATTGTACATTAGTTCATTTGGTGTTTATTTTGACTCAAAACATTTTGTTCACATTAATGCAAGTATTCCCAACAAACAGAATATGTAGTCCTTACTAAATCAATGTGAATGAATTAGATGCATTAAACAATGAGTGTAGTCCTTCTCCAACTCTTTCACAATTTCTATTGCTCTCTTGTTACATATTAAATTTTGATTGTTATCAAGACATTAAAGAGCTCAGCTAAGGGAAACAATTGTGCATGTTTTATATACTCTTGACTTCATTGTGGCCTTAGAATTTTGTACAAATTATGTATTATTTTTTATTATTTGTGTATGCATCTATTAAGAGCAGTCTTTAATCTATCGTTTGTTTAGTGTTGTTTTTTATGTTGGCTAATATATAACTATGTAAACAAAAACTTTCTGGCTTTATGTGACTTGTACATTTTGAGCATTCCACTGTAACCTGACTGTATCTGTTCTCCTAATTCTAGAACTCATTTTTTGAAGTTAAACCCCCTGAGCATTTTTTGTAAAACTTTCTCCTAGATGGTGCTTCCATTTCAACTCTAGACATTTTATATAATTTTTTTTTTTATTTTGGCATTAGTAATGAGAGTACTTTTGTTCCAGTCAGCTATACATTCATAATGACAATAGTTTTTGTGGCAAAGATACAAACTATCTGCCACTTTGTACAGTGTCTAGAGCTGCACTGGTGGGTGTGTTACATAGCCTGTGTATCTTGTTAGCCTTGTTTGCTAGCCAGTATATAGAGATATTTATACACTTAAGTTATAAACCTATTTATTTGTATCTTTATATTGATATCTTGCTGCTGTTTGTAATTTATTGTACACTGCAATGTGTTGTATAAAAGCAAGATTCAAGTTAAGTCGATGTGTACATTTGGTCTGCTTGTACTGGTGTGTACATAGATGTATATATGGAGAAAGAAAGTTGGCTGGTTTATAAATAATGTTCGGTTCCAGAGGTTCAACCATAAAACCTGTCTTTGCAAATGTTTAAAATTCAGTCTACACATGTCTTAAAATGCTATATTTTATTTTTGTCTGTCCTTTAGAAGTGTGAATATTGTGTTTTTCTTGGTTTCTTAATATCATCTTACCAGTCTTTTTATTTGACAATCTGTCTTTCTATGCTACTGTATAAAACCAAATGTGTTTATTTAGATTTGTGAGATATTGACAAATGTACTTACCTTTTTTTAGACATATCCTTTTCCCTTATTACACTATCTATAAATAGAGCCTTTTTCTTAATTTCTGTTAATCTCTTTTTGGGTTATTGGTATTGGACCACATTGTGATAATCAGGTTATTTTATTAGACATTGTTTGGTCTTTAATATATACAGACTCCATGAACAGGGTTGGTATTTGTACTACAGTACTGCAGTGAGGTGACATTTACATTGATATTTCTTTCATTGGACTGTCTGCCTTTTAGGATTTTATCTTTTATTATTTGTTATACATTCTAACTTAATCATCTTGGAAATGGAAATAAGTTTTGATTTGTTATCACCTCAGAAGTTAGTGTTTTTTTCTTTGTGTAAACATTGTACTCTAATTTATTCAGATATGGAAAGTGTTTAATACTTGAGTTAGTGTAAATCAACATGAGCATATTCATACTTGTGGTATTGTAGTTGCATTGTCCTACTGTACTAGCACCTTTTTTTTTTTTTTTTTTTTTTTGGACTGGATAAGGATTATTGTAAAACACTTTTAGAAACTGCTGCTGAAGTACTAGAGTATCCTTTTTCTATAAATGGGCTTTTTTTTTTCTGCCTTCTCAATGTTTTATGATAAAGACAGACACAAAATGTTAATGGAAAATTCCAATATTAACTGGATAAAGGAAAGCAGAATGCCAGTCCAGCTGTTCAATTTAGAAGGTTGTGATATTGTTTTCTGTTTCTTTTGTCAAGGCTCATTCTTGAGGCTTTCTTCTATTTCTCTTGCTATACAGCTCTAACATTTGGAGAGGAATTCTATTCTTTTTTTTTTTTTTAAATAAATAGTCCTAATAGTTGAACTCTAATGATTGGTCCAGTGAAATTCAATTGACTTCTCACCACAAACAAACAAACAAAATTCTGCCAGGATTAGCTGCTGCTGGTTTTTGTTTCAAGCAGTGTCAATCTGCAGACATTTTGCCTACTTTGAAGTGGTAAGATAAAACAGGGAGCCACATTTCTATCTAGTTCAATGACCCTTCATGTGTATGTGGGTGTGTCTATACAGTGTCAGGAGGCTGGGCCTAATGTGTGTGTGCGTGAGTGCTGAAGCCATGTAAGGTCTGTTGGAATTGTCTGGTGCTAAACTTGTAAATTAAACTGATTTTATAATTGACTTGAAGGGATGACAGGAACATGCTCCACATCATTATACAGGATGAATGTTTTCCTGAAATTGCAGTTATGGTCTCCCCTTCTCCAATACAATACTATAAGCAAGCTGCCACGAGAAGAGAAAGCAAACCATGTTCATTGTTTTTTAAACATCACATCAAAAGTTGTCAGAAGTAATGGTACAAAAATCAACAGTAAAGTTTTAGTTAAAAAACAAATGTTTAAGAATTATGTGATTTGCTTAAGATTCATATTGGTGGAAATTTCTGCTTTTGAATTGTTTATTAGAAAGTGATGCATATATTTAGTAACTTACCTAGAATCTATCTATCTATATTTAATTCACTGAAAAAGACTACAGTACTATGACCAATCTGTATCTAAATTTTCTGATCTGCTTATGCTTACAGCTACATATCTTGTACTTGTAGGTACATCTTTCTTTCTTAGAATTGAGTGTGTGGTGAATTAGCAGTTTTAGTCTCAGTCACTTATAATTTTCTGACTTGTCCAATTAATCCCCCCCCCCCCCCCCCTCCCAAAAAAAAAAAACATTGTTGATGTAACTTTCATTCTGTCACTAAATCTTTTTTTTTTTTTTTTTTTTTCAAACAACACAATTGACTTTTGTGTGTGTGTGTGTGTATCAAGTAGTCAACCAAACTAAATAGTAGATGACTTGTGTGTGAGACTTCCAACTAACCAGATAGCTGATGAGAACAGTATCAAATGTTCTTCTCCCAATCTAGTATGGTTAAGAACAGTGTGTGTGTGTGTCTAAAGAAAAATAAAAGTTGTGTTGGTTTTCAATGTCAATGTGATAATACCACTTTGTATGTCAAGTTTTCTTTGAAAGAATGAATTTAAAACAATAAACATGTACATATTGATTAAAATGGATGGATGCATATGTATTTTGGTTAAGCCTAATGGGTGACGCATGGACTGATGACATTGAATTTTATATGGTAGACTGACTTGTCTCCTGGCCACTTTGCTTGTGTTCATGTACACATTTTTTTTTTTTTTGGTAGTTTGTTTCCATCATTGGTTGCCACTTTGGCTATATGTGTAGAGTTTTTTGAACACTGCAAATCCACTATTGACTTCCGTGATGACAATTATAATTGAAATATCAGAAAGAAGAACAGTACAGGTCAAAACTTTGGACAGGCAGTCTGTTATCCAGCACTAAATCACAGTCTATGTCTATATTATAGTATTCTTAGCATTGTATGCAAACCAGTATATCATCCAGTAATACATCAATCAATCAGTCATTATCAGTTACATTTTACTAAGTCCTGTCCATAATTTATACCACAGCAGATGTCTTTATTGTTCATGTAAATGTATACATTCATTGTGTGGGTAGTTTAATGTCAAAGGGCAGACATAGATTGGGACCCCCATCATTTTTAATGAAAGAAGGGAAGGTGGTAATGGTACCGAAAGTCTCAATACATTTTTGTTATGACACCTTTGTTAGCTAATTTTATGGTTAGTATCAGAAGATTGGTCTATAAAGTTCAGACTACTGTTAAAGAATCTGATTTTGAACAGCAAGCTTATACTGTTTGACATTGGTCATACATCTAGTTCACACAGCTTATTTGGACATGGCTAACTTTTCATTATGTATTCCTTGCCCTGTATGGGAAGCATGTTCAAAGTGGCATTCCTATGGTCCCTCCCCTATTGTTGTTAATGTCATTTGTTTTTTCGCATGACATTTATTCCATGAATAAATTTTTTTCCATGTTCGCAATGTGTCTCCTGGGTTGCATTGTTTTAATACAAAATGATCACATTATTGATCACATCAATACTAGAGGTCAATCTCTGAAACAGATTGAAATAGTTTGAAGTACTACTAGCTCTCGAAATGAGGACGAAAAATTCTAGGATCTATGAATGTCCAAGCAACAAGAGTAGATTGTAGCAAAACACATTTTATTTGTACATGTCAAACATAGTAGAGTACAATTCATCCAACTACAGCTTTGAGTTTAGAATCCAGTAGCCTTTATTTCTGAACTTTTCACAAGTGTCAATAGTCCTATAACAAAATGAGCTTATAAACATCTAGTGAACGAACTTTATTGCATTGACTTAAATGCACGTTAGTAAATAGAGACAGAGGCTTAGTGTGTAGAGACAGAGATTAGAGACGGTTCTAATAGTTTTTTTCTTTTAGAATTTTAAGATCAATCTTTATTGTTAAAAAAAATAGCAACTTTTTAAAAGTTCTAGATCCACCCTTTGGCTGCAATGCGGTTACATCGCTTTTCCTTATATAGGATTTGTCATTGTAGGCACGCTTACTGAACTCCGTTTTATTCTTACATAAATTTAACATAAATTATTTATAAACATGAAAACATTAACCTCTACATGACAATTAATTAGCACTATAAGATCATTTAAGATTAGAAGATCATGGTTGGATGCGCTTTACACAGTAGAACGCTGTTACTGCTAGATTCGTCTTGATAAAACACCAAATTGTAAACGCGTTTATACAGTATTAGGATTTCTTTGGTCGCCATCCTCGAATAAAGTCCACAATTTTTTTCACCTCGAGTGCATTGAGCTCAGGAAAGCCTTCTTTCAGGAGCTTCTCATCCAGTGTACATAACATACTGCCGTCTATCTGCTCATTGGAGAACCGAAGCACCACCCTGTCTTTCATGCCAATGTACCTCAAGGATTTGGACACCTCTTGCACGCTCATGCCTTCTATCTCCATGGGAGGTGTCCAGCCATCGTTATCCTCCCTGGACATGTATTCATTAAAGCTGTACTCACTCTCGTTGGGATAGCCACCGTCCCCCTTAGAGCCAATGGAGATAGCCGAGTCGTCGCCGTGTTTCACGCACATCTCCGCCTGGCCTCCAGCGGACGCAGGACGCATGCTGTGTCGGTAACAGGGCTCGCTCTCAGCGTACTGACTGCCAAATCCTGGGCCGTAAATGTTTTGAAAAGCTGGAGGATGGGGTACGTGATAGGGTGTCGCAGAGAAACGGCTGCCGTAAAGGACGGGGCGAGACGCTCGAGAGTATAGGTCCACCTGCTGGTCGTATGGAGTTTGGAAAGTGTTTATAAGAGCGTCCCTGGCAACTGGGTGAAGGTCATATGCTCCGGTAGCATGAATCGAATTTTCAGATTTGAATACATCTCTAACAGCTGGCCTCAGTTTTTTCAAATTGTGTGAGCGGATGGTGGCGTTGGGATTAGAATTAACTTGGCGAGCCTGATCGTGCTTGAGATTCATTCGACGTCGATGGTTACGAGTTTCAAGGTCAAGGTTATCCATAAATTTTTGTTGCAAGCTGGACATAGTTGTAGGATAATCGGATTTCCTTTTTGACGCTTGGGCTGTGCCGTAGAGATGCGATGTGCTGACAGCAGCAGACAAACCACCCACTGCGCCGAAAGGGCGGCCGTCACCAAACTCCTCGTACGCGAAGTCAAATAATCCGTCTATAGATCTGTCAATGTCGTCGGCATCGCGTGGCATTTGTTTGAAGTCCTGAAACACCTCACTTTTGGACCTTTTCTCTCTTTCACTCCTGTAGGATTCGTGAGGAGTCGAGGGCCTTGTACGGAGCTGGAATTCTGATTTTTTGATGTACTTTTGTTCAGATGTCTTGACCGGAATCATGTATCCATCGTCGTCATCATCATCATCATCTTCCTCGAATCGCTTCCGCAACAAAGGGGAGTCACTAGACTTTGATCTATGGAAATGGGGAGGGTGTGGTGCCGGAGGTAAATGCTCATACAGAGATTCTTTTGAACCATTGACGTCAGTGACCGGAAGTGAAAGCTGAGTATGCTGGGGAGAATCTGGTGGGATGGGAGGAAGGTCACGCTCTTTCATATTTATTTTTCTACCCACTTGTGGTATTGGGGCGGTGCTGTCCAGTTTTGGTTCCGTGCCACTTTTGTTGGAACCGTTGGAAGTGATACTTTTGTATGTGCCATTGCTGCTGCCGAAGCCGGAGTCGTCCTGTTTCGCTTTCACCTCCTCGCTTCGTTTCGCCGGCATGCCTTCATCATCAAGACCGTTAAAAAACTCTTGGTAGCTGAGTTCGTGACGGGCGATGCGCTTGGAGAAAACGTCATCACTCTTTAGCTCCTTTAGCTTAGCTCTTTCTTTCTTCACCTTCCTGACACTGAGTTTGTCGAGAATTCCGGTGGACCGAGATTTCTTCAACTCTTTTGGAATTCTTTCTGGAAGTTCAATTTCTTTGCTAGTTGCTTCCCCTGAATCTGCTACTTTTGAGACATCCACTGAGTTTACCACATTAGCTTCAGTGACGTTTTCTTCAGTATTGTTAGTTTCTAGTGTTGCAATGCCTGTGATAATTTCTTTGCCAGAAGTTGTAGATTCGCTTTCACTGAGGGTGGTAGCGATGCTGCTAGAAATGTGAATAGAGGTGGAAGTGGTCACTGACAAAGACTTGGCCAAAATAGGCTTACGTTGATTGTTCATAGAATAAGTTTGTTTTTCCTCTGAACTGACTCTGCTATACATAATGTCTTTTTCTTTGACTTCTGGTTGAAATGTTTTTTTCTCGGAGATGTTTGTCAGCAAATCACCTAATTTCGGCTTAATCGTAGGCTTCTTTTTAATCACGCCTCTAGAGAAAAGTAAATCTTTATCCACTGGGATCTCAAACCTGTCACTACTAGCTGCATCAGATGTCAGACTGAGCCCCCCGTCAGGTTTCACTTTTGAGACCACCGCAAACTCTTCTTCTCTGGCGCCGTACAAACGCAGAACGCCCTTCGGCCACTGTAGACCATCTTTGTTGTTCCCATTGTGCACAACCTGGACGTTCACGGGGAAACCAAATGCTAAAATTAAATCCTGCAATTCGTAGACGGCGTCGTAATTGGCGACGGATGAGTTTCCGACAGGGCTGAACACTCCGTTCACGATGAAAGGCACCATGATTTCTCTGGCCAGCGTATCGAAGCACTGCAAGTATTTCAGTTCCTGGTCTTTCTTCCCCTTGGTCTGCTTCAGGAAGCGTTTAAAGATATTCTTCTGCGCCGCGCCTTTTGTTTTCTTGCTGTCTGTGTACACGATGCCAGTGGTCAGCACTTCTCCAGGTTTGACTTCAAAGGGTATCCAGCAGCTGTTGCCGTTCTCTTCTGGTATCAACAGGTGGCACACTGCGCTAGTCCGCAGCAGAAATCTCTTGCACTTGTTGCTGGTGATGCCGCCAATAGTGTCGAAGTATTCCACAGGCCGGCCGTCGTCCGGTAGTACTTCCAACCAACCTAAAGAGACCAAATTAAACAAGTTATTTTTTATAGTAAATTATTTCTATTGAACGTTTCAATATTTAATGACAAAAAGGCCAGCAAACAGGGTAACTATTCTAAATAACATTTCCTTTATTTAAAATTAAAACTTCCAAACTGGCTGGGTTTATGCATGAGTCTAACGTAGTCCGATCTGACCATATGTAGCCTTTCGTTTAGAATCAGTGAGAGGTGATATCCAGCCATGAACATTATTTTGTCTTACGAGGATTCTGGGTCTCAGTTTAACCCGATCGGAGGATTAGTACTATTATTGGAAAATAAATCTAGAGTGGTTAAAAACACCCCTAATTCTCTATATGTTTTCCCTTTTTGTCTAGCACGTATGATCAGATCTTTAAAGTATTATTATATAGCTACATTAACTTTATTCTATAACTATATCCACGACAATAAAAGAAGAATCTATTTAGAACGGTCCTTTCCAAAATAAAAGAGTAAAAAGTATTTAAACAGATAGAGCACCCTTATTTAAACAAAAAAAAGTGGAGCAAGATGAGGTTGAACATACACAAACGTTGTTTAAGTGCACGGGTCGCACACATCAAGGGAGTTAACTGCTAATGCCTTCTGTGTTTGACATTGTTAAGTTGACACATGGATTAGCCTTCCCTCTACTTCATTCCATCTCTGCTTTTAAATGTTATCACTTGCTAAGGTTCACACCTGAACAACAAGGGACACAAATCGTATAACAAACTTTCAATTCAAGAAGAGAGAGAGTTTCGTGATTTTCTTTTTTTGGCCAGTGGAGATCATCTGACATTGTCACTAGGGATCATACATGAGAGGGTGTATGTGTGTCTTTATGTGTGAGTAGTCGAAATAGCCTCAGAAATAATCAATCTGGCCATGATAATAATAATAATATACCCCATTGTTATATCAACCTAGGGGATAATGACTCAGAAATAATCAATCTGGCCATGATAATAATAATAACATAACCCCATTGTTATATCAACCTAAGGGATAATGACAACTGACCTCACAGATACCTTCAAGGCCCTTAACATTCCTAGGAACATTCTCGTTGCTTGTCAGAGGGCAGCTGCAGACCTGCCACATCACCAGAAAATTCCTCAGCAGACACTGATAAAAGGACTACAATGAATTCTGTTTCTCATTAGCGAAACTCGACCCTGGCAGGATTTCAAAATATCAAAATAACCCAAATATAGATATTCGCAGCAAGAAAAAAAAAGTCTGTCAACTGGGCCAATTAGGTGCAAATACTGTGGTTATATTTCATTCTGACGACACTACCACATCTTGTTTAATTCGAATATGACTCAATATAAACATAACAAGATTACAAAGACAGTTTGTGTTGAAACACAAACTCAAAATTGGCCACCGAAGTGGTCCACCCAGGTAGGTAAAAAGGCAGGTTTTCAGAAAGAACATCGGAATGAAATTCTATCAAAGGCAA